ATATTCGGGCTCGGGGGTGAATGGATAAATGAATTTTGGTGCGAACCTCGGGTTTTGACCAAGCGGGTCCGGGGTCGATTTTTTGACTTTTAGGAGAAAAATTTGAAAAAATTAATTTATACAATGTAATTGATTCCTTTAGTAATATTTGATATTATTGAGTCATTTTTGAATAGATACGAGTGATTTGGAGGTGAATTCTAGAGGAAAAGCTATGATTGAGAATTAAGTGGCTCTTGGAACAAGGTAAGTGTTGTGTCTAATCCTGACTTGAGGGAATTAGGAACCTTAGACTATTTGCTATGTGAAATTCATGCGAGCGGCGTATAGGTGAGGTGACGAGTACTTATGCGCCGTCAAATTACCTGTTTTCTTTTCCATGTTTCTTCCGTTTTTCTTACATTGTTTCTTCCTATGCCTAATTGCTATGTTTTTACACTAGTGTTGTTAAATTGACCGTTCTTATTATGTTTACGGATTTTCTGGTGATAATTGAGTATTTATTTCAAAGTTAAGATTGATATTTGTGGAACCAAATGTTGAAGTAAGGTTTGTACTTGTTATTTTACCTCCCTGTTGTTATTTATGCATTGCGTTATGGTGAGGGAGAGTGTTAATGCACGAAGGGTGATGTCGTGCCATATTGTGAGTGTTAATGCACGAAGGGTGATGTCATGCCATATTGTGAGTGTAAAAGCATGAAGGGTGATGCCATGCCATATTGTGAGTGTTAATGCACGAAGGGTGATGTCGTGCCATGATATGAGAGTTAATACACGAAGGGTGATGGCGTGCTGTTTCTATTGATTTTATGGTGAGATTGAGAGTAAAACCACGAAGGATGATGCCGTGCATTTTTCCTTTACTGTATTCGTTGTTTCTGTTGATTCATAGTATATTGGTTGTACTAGTTATTATTCTGCTGTAATTCTTTATCTCGTATTTCCCTCAGCATGTTTCCCCCTCCCGATAATTGTTGTCTAGCTTTTCATTACTGTTATTTGCATATACACTATTAAATTGTACAGGTTGATTTGTAGGTGCCTTGCCTTAGCCTCGTCACTAATTCGTCGAGGTTAGGCTTGACACTTACTAGTACATGGGGTCGGTTGTACTGATACTGCACTCTGCACTTTCTGTGCAGATTTTGGTACCGGCTCGGGTTGATCGAGATTTTGCTATTGGACCGCTATCCAGAGATTCAAGGTAGATCTGTCGGCGTTCACAGACCTTGAAGTCCCCGTCTCTCTTTTCTGTTCTACTGTTTCTTTCATTCAGACAGTTGTATTTCTATCAGACTATTACTTGTAGTAAATTCTAGAATGCTCGTGAATTGTGACTCCAGATCCGAGTGGTAGTAATTAATACAGTTTTTATATTATTCCGCACTTATCATATTTTATCTTAGTTAATTATTGTTATTTACTGAATGGAAATAAGGAATTCGTTTAATGATTCTCTAACGTTGGCTTGTCTAGCAACTGAAATGTTAGGCACCATCACGGTCCCGTCGGTGAAAATTCCGGATCGTAACAAGTATAATTTTTATTTTCCACCTTCCCCAGCGCTTAAATCTTTACTTCAGAGTATAAGTTTCTCCGAAAATTAAGAAAATAACCTTTTGACCCCGTTCAAATTATTTGCTTCATGAATATCAATAGGTGTTCAAACTTTCTGTTAATCCTTATCTCATGTTCTTCTTATTTCTTAGATTTTTTGCTTGGTTTTTTATCACTAATTTTTTTAACCCTTGAATCCCAATGATATAGGTCTAATTTTTCGATTTACCTTGTTCAGGCCTACGGTGACAAAAATTAACTTCAAATTTTATCATCTTCTTCTAAGCAAATAACACGAGGGTCAGACTCTAAATTCATATGAAAACTAAAGTTCAGAACCATTACTAAAGTACATCAGCTTTATGAGGTATATTCATCTCATAAAGTTCAAAGGTTTTGTAGAGTAAATTTGTATGTGCGAGCTCTGTTACTTATTAGATGAAAGTAAAAATAGGATTCAACTATAAAGAGATATAGGCATTAACCAACTAGGGAATCTTAGAAATTGAGAGGACATTGGCTTAGTAGAATGATAAGTATTAATTTTAGGATTCTAATTTCAGTAAAAGATCTATTAAGTATTATCCCTTTTCAAGATGATTTATTGTCACGACTCACGTTGGCCTATGGGAAAGTTTAGTGTATTTAGCTTTAAAATTCCAATTACACAATTGTGGTCAAATAATAAATTTTAGTTGAAGTCGACATCCTAAGTATTGAACAAAATGTTAAATATCACATACAATTTTATCCAACTTTGAACTATTATCTTTATTTGTTGAAATATCGCAGCTTTCAAACCTTCCAATTTCTTCTTTGCTTGCTATAATAGTTTAACCATATAAAGATAGATAATTTCTCTAACGTTGTTCAAACTTGAAAGAATTAAAAAAAAAAATTCCGACAAAGTATGTTCAATATATGTTATTATATACCTGTAAAATCTAATATTTTACTTATATATACATTATAATTTTTTGACGAAGAGTAGTAAATTGACCATCCCTAGGACGATGTAGCTTCACCCCTGCGAACGACACCGCCTTAGAGATATCAATAAAAGTGCAACAAAAATATACACACACAAAAAAGGACCAATAACATGCTTGTATCTTTTAATAAATAAAGGTAATGTAGCAAAAAATTACATGTAACTATTTTAATGGCGATCCTTTGGGCGAATTCTGACTTCAAATATTACTCCCTCCGTTCAATTTAAGTTGTCCACAATGAACCTGGCACATCCCTTAAGAAATAATAAATAAAGTACATATTTCATCATAATAACCTTAATAATAATAGCATTTTAAAAAGTCTTGGGAAATAATTTGGGAAGGAATAGTTAATGATAAGGATAAAACGGAAATTTTTTGTTGATTTTATCTTGATTTGCTAAAATTGACAAGTAAAAATAAAAAAATATATTTAGTATAGTACACAAGTAAAAGTGAATGGAGGGAATAGTTCACTAATTATGGTAATTTATTATATACATTTTTAAAAGAATCCATTTTATTAGTCTCACAAATGTTATTATTTAAAAACATATGCAATTACAGGTTTGACTTAAATTTTCATGCAACGCACGAGTATAGAGACTAGTTTTTTTAAAAGGTACGTATTAAGCTATTGAACACTTCGGTTTTTCATGGACTGTCTACTCGAAATCTCACTTATACCTATTAAGCCCAAACTATTTATCCTTTGATACCCAGGCCCAAACTATTTACTTTTCCTACCCATGCGGCCCAGACTATTTATGTGGCCCACCTATTAGCGAATTCTCATACCCGGCCCAAGCTATTTCACCCAGCAGCCCGCGTAATTAGTGAATTCCCATTGTGAGCACGTAATTTTTGCCTCACAAAAATAACTCCTACAAATTTTGCAAAAATAGTTTTTTTTTTTCTTTTCTCTAATTATTTCTAATTTTTATAGAATTTTAAGGAATTTCTTGTTAATTATTGTTTGTATTTTAATTGCATTTTGTGTATATTTAATATTTCAAAAATCATGGAAAGTACCATAAAATGTCCAAATCTTTATTGCATAGCATTTTAGGTTTTTATTAGTTGCATTATTAAACAAAAATTACAAAAAAATACAATGGTCTTGTTAACATTTTTGCTTTTAGTTTTAAACTAAATAGTGGTAAGTTAATGGAAAATAATTAAGTAAGATTAATTTTACGAATTAGACTAATTTAGGATCAAATTTAGGATTCTTATTTAATTTGTTTAGGATTTAAAAATCAAGAGAAAAAGAAATAAAGAAAGATAAGGGGTTTTTTTGTTTGATTTACTCATAATTTGGGCCAATAGCCATTTTAGCGGCCCAATTCTCAAATCCGCCCAATCCAATACTCATGGTCCAATCCGGTCCACACCCTCAACCCAAAACGACCCCATTTTGATCCCTTAAATCTCAACACTTCATCTCCATTAATCCAGCGGCTCGCAACTCCCTTCCTATCTCCCTTTTAACTGTCCGAACCGGCCCACTCCCCCAAAATGATTTCTCTCATTCTCAAAGACCACTCTCATCTCCCCCACTCAAAACCTAGCCGCCCCAAAACCCTTCACCGGCGGCACTCTCCAAATGACTCCAAATCACCACCTTACAACCTCCAGCACTCTCTCAGCTATAATCCACCTTCAATTTCTTCAAAAGCCCCATCGAATTGGTCGAATCGTAGATCTAAGAAGGTCGAAAAAACCTAAATTTGTCCTTTTCTAGTTTCTCCTCAATCTCGACCCGTTTGAACTCGAAACTTACATCAATTGATTGCTCTTGATGAGAGAAATCGATTGATGTTGGTCTAAGTTCATCTCACGGCCACCGGAATTTGTTCTGCCTGGCAGAGTTTGGTATATCCTCAGTTTTCTTCTAACCTGCGTCTATATGGCATCGATCGGTAACCTTTCGACCTTTTCTTTGTCTCAGATTAATTGTTCTTGGTTGATTTCAAATGAATCCCTATTTTTGCATTTTTAGTAGACATTTCACATATTGTTTTTACCTAGTTAGGTTAATAGTTTTAATTGCATAATAATTATCTTGTAGGCTAGTCAATCCTGATTTTGTTAGTCACCATGTTTGAATTAGGGTTTATTGGTTAAATTGTTTGATTTTTTGCACATTGTTTGCTCTATTTTGATTTCCAATCTGGTCGAATCTTTTGTGTTTAGTTTGTTTATAATTAACAAAAGTCTAAATGGGTTAAATGAGATAGAAATTTAGGAAATTTTTTGTTTGAGCTACTGAAAAAATGTTAGAAGGAAGTAAAAGGGATTAAAATGCAAATTAGTTAAAACTTGGGGTGGAAAAGAGGTAAAAACAAAAGTAAAAAGGGTAGGAAATAAAAAGAATTATCTAGAAACAGGGACAGATGTCCCTTTTCAGCAGAAAAGATGCTTTATTCCCAAATTTTAGGGACTAACATTCTAGAATTATTCCCTGATTTTTCTGTGCACACAACAGATTTCATTCTCGATATAAGACCTCATCTCCTCTCATTTTTACTCTCTCTGGATTCAAAACAGACTTTCACCCTAAGAAATCTCTGAAATTCAGATTTCTTTTCCTTCATTTTGAGACTGACTTGGAAACAGATTTGAAATTCAATTTTTCTTCTTTTTAAAAATTGAGAACTTCCCTCTCATTTGGCTATGATTCCGCATTAGAGTTTCATTGGTCTTTGGTTTTACTGCTGGATTTTTGGTTTGAAAATCAAAGCTCATGTATACTTTTTCCACTGCTATTGGCTGCTACTGTTTAAGCTGTGTTTTTCTGCTGCACTTCTCAACTTCAGAGATCTATTTTCTATCTTGTCTATCTTGCAGTAATCAGGTGCTCATCTGTAAAATTGAGTTGTTGTTTTTGACATGAATGAATCAATCTCTTTATTTGTTTCCATGAAATCCTAAACATTTACTGTATTCATATGTTGATTCTCTTATTATTAGTCTGTCGATTAGTGGATCGAAATTTAACTAACTTCATTATGGTTTGTTTCTGCTTGTTTGATGTGTTGAATAATGCAAGCCAGAACCCTTTGCCCTAACTTTTGCTTACTTGAATTGGTTGTCCAGTGTGCTCTAGACTCATTAGTATTCCTCCTTGGTTGATTTTTGTCTGTTGAAACTATTTTAGTTTGTTAAAAATATTGTATTAATCAGTTCATCATCTTCTATAGCCTGTTATTGTCTAACTAATGATTTGTGCTAAAAAATGGTATTAAGATGTGGCGGCATGGATGGATTTGACCACGAGTTGGTCGGAGTCATCTCTAAAGGAGCCAATACAGCACTTTAAATTGTAGAAGTATATAGTGTATGAGTTTCATAGTTTTTTTTCATACATTTAACAGCTCGAGGTTTCAATGGTTAGCTATAGAAATTCGTATGAGTTAAACTGAAGTTCATTGACCAGCCTTGTTAGAATAGTTATTACTAGCGTATTTGAATGGCAAATTAGTTATGAGAGATTGGTGTTGTAATTAGAATTTGAATCGTATATATTCATTTTGGGATTATGCTTAAATTACTATATTTTTCTTTCAATGATAGATGAAGTCTTGAGTCATTAAGTTTGGTTCCCAGTCATTGGGCCTAAAAACTGGCCCAACGAAGCTTTAAATAAATTTTGCAGCCCTAACAGACTTTCGACCCCTGGTCAGATTTATTTTGGGCTCGCTCAATGAGCCAGTGGTCTGTTCTTCCTCTATAAGGCAGAAGACGTTTAAACTATTACTTGAAGTCCATTTTTATATGTATATGTAATTGTTAAAAGTCCAATTTGAGTGCCTAAACAAATTTTGACTTGTGCCAGTTTTCCAGTTTAAAAATCCACATCGATGTGGTTAATTGAAATAAGAAATGTGGTTTAATTATAAGCTATCATCCATCCATAAACTCTTGATCCTCCAGTAACCCCAAATTAGTTTAGGAAAACAATTATGAATACCATAGTTTGTTTTAGGCGCGTTAATAATAATCATCGTGACTATGGGTACGGTTGTCGTGGCATAGTCATCATAAGTAATCCCCAATTGGAGTGTGCGTTTCGCGTGACTCGACCACAACTTCAAACAATAATAAACATTAAACACATTGTAGATTGCAGGTGCGTTTCACGTGGTGCGATTTGCGATGTGTAAAAATGATGGGTGTACGACAACGTAACTCGTCTCATATTAATTCCATAGAAGTTTAAAATGCAGTAATGTAATAAAAGCGGTAAAAGGAATAAAAAAGCACATAGGTTTAAAACATGTATTAAATCAGATAGCTAGGCTAATTATTAATAGTTGAGTGACCGTGCTAAAATTACAGAACTCGGGAGTGCCTCACACCTTCTCCCAGGTTAACAGAATTCCTTACCCGGTCTTCTGGTTTTGCAGACTTTAAAACATAGTCAAAATTCCTCGATTTGGGATTTAAAATGAACCGGTGACTTAGGACACCATAAATTATTCCAAGTGGCGACTTTTAATTAAATAAATAATCACATTTCGAATAATGTCACTTTAATTGGAAAAACTCCCTACCCCCTCGGAAAAAAGGAGGTGTGACAGCTCTGGCGACTCTGCTGGGGATCGAACCCAGAATCTCTAGTTCTGGGTTCAGAATTCTAGCTTAGAATAACTATTATACTTGACTTTTGTTTATTATCTTATTTTTACATGTTTGAGCCTAATGTGCTAAATGCCGCTTTTTACCGTTTTGATATTGCTTGAACTGTATATAAACTGTTACGAAACCCTTATTCTCTCTAAGTCTTCTAAATCTTCTGGGAAGTGCACGCTGGCGTGACTTCTTTTCTGTTAGTGTCATATCCCTAATTTAGAACGAGGATCGGATAAGTTGCAAAGCCGGATGATCTTTTGGTTACCGGTACGCTGCC